GCTTTTGGGGTGAACCGTCATGGGGTCTGCAGACCCTTATTTCCAGGCCTTGAGCCCGAAATTCAGGCTTCCAGCCTGAACGACGCAGGGCCTGGAAAATGGCCCTCCTATGCAGGCGCAGCATGTAACATATGGCCAAACTGCCTTATGCGCCCTATGGTGGTCAGGGGAGTCCATCAGATGTGTTTCCTGAACACAGACTATGTCGGGCCAGCTTCGAGACTAGTCTGGGCAGTGTGTGGCTAATCCATTGATGTTGATGGATCTGAGATCCAGGTCTGCATTTCGCAGGGTGCTGCGCCAGACTCTATTGTGGCCGTATATTGCATCGATCCATTCCATTTCTGCTACTCACAATGTTGTCCCCCCTTTTAATTCTGACAATTGGTTTCATGTGTGTTGATCCCATGCTTTCCCCCTTCGTTGATAATATTCTTCCGGATGATCGAGCACAAGGCAGTGATGGTGTCTGTATCTGACCAGATATGGCTGGGTTTGAGTTTGGAGCTTTGTAGCTCCAGCAGGGAATTGTGGGTTATGCCTATTGGAAACATGGGTTGTGACCCACGAGCTGTTGCCCCCTTTTTTTTTTTTTTTTGAGAAAAGGCCCAGTGACCAAGGCTGCAATTATGAAATTGATTACAACACTTATACGCACGCCTCTTCCCATCAGGGCTGGAAGAGCCTCGGCCACTGGTCCCTGTATAACACGAATATAGCATAGTCACGGGGCATTGATTGCTTCCCCAGTGAGGAAGGATTAACCCCGTCATGTGCAGAATCAAGCTCTGCCCTACGAGACTCCTCAATTATCCCTTCTTCAATCTTCTGCACGGTGAGGAGTAGGGGGGATACCAATACGGCAAAGAGATTGATAACAGGGCCAGAAAGTTTATCAGTTCATTAATAATTACGACGAGCCTCCCCTAAACAACAGTAGTTAACACAGACGCAAACCAAAGGGGAGCACACTAATTGGAAGAAAATTTTAATCTATACGTAAGGATCATCAAACCAAGTCAAAACCTAGCCGATGATGACCAAACCCCGGACCGTACAAAAAACGAGTTCTACCCTACTATGGCACACCATCAGGGGGCAATTCACGCGACATGATAGGGCTAAGCAAATCAAACACAAGATCCTGATCCCAGTCGGTCCGTGAATGATCTGTAATTAGCTAAATATGTGTCTACCTACCACTACCCAAAGTAACAGTAAGTAATACAAGAGTGGAAACCCTCATGTCTTAGATTGAATCAATGAATGAAGACTAGATAAAGGGAGATATCATCGTGGAAATTTCAGAGCCTCCACCTGCGGACAAAACATCAACATCAAAATTCCACAGTACATAATTCCCATGTTCCCCAACAGAGGGTTGTGTGGATCATTCCACAAAGTGATTTCTGGGGTGCCGGCATAACATCACAACATCAACAGCCAGCCTGCCAACTCCTCTATGATCGGATCGACCTCCACAATGATAAAGATACAAACCAGGTAGTTATATGAAGGGGGTCAATCTGCACGCCCCAGATCCTAGTGCTTATCCCACTCCTTCACGCTCCCATCGCCCATGCTCTATCCACCGAACCTTGTGTTTCCTCCTGCCCAGCCGGACGGACCCCTCCTCCCACCCTTTTCCCTCCCCAACCCCTCGGGCCGTGGAAAAGAGAGAAGACAAAGACAAAGGGGATACATTGTGAGAGAGAACAGAAACTACGTCACGCTGGCACTTACCTTCCTGAAGAGTGCAAGACAATCGTTCGACATCTCCATCTGCCTCTTTGGCCCAGTCGTCCTTCAAGATTCCTGTAGAAATGATGATATTGTTATAGAAGATGCTACCACAGTCATTCTTGTGATCGTGCTTGGTAAAAGGAACAGCGTTGCCATCCTGGTCAATAGTATTGAAGATGATGTCGTTTTTTTCGGTGTTGCGGTGGATGCCACCGCTGTCCTTGTTGATATCGTCGATAATACCGGGGACCGCAGTGACGTCTTTGTCAATGATGATGGAATTGGCAATTGTCATTGATGATGTAATCATTCGTTTAGTATCGAAGATGATGTCGTTTGTATCGATGTTGCAATAGATGTCACCGCTGTCCTTATTGATATCGTCGTCAATACCGGGGACCGCAGCGACATCTTTGTCAATGCTGATGGTATTGGTAGTTGTCATTGATGATGTACTCATTGCTTTTGATGCTGCAGTTACTGGTGAAGTGGCTGTCATTGTCGATGTTGTGGTTGATACTGTCGTCGATGGCAGCTGCGAAGATTCTGTCCCATCCTTCCCCAAATTAATCAGCACTGCTCCCCGCGCGCGGCCTTCCGCCAGGAGATGGAGACAATCATGCCAAAGCGTTTGTGCCTGCTGCCAGTCGATGTATGTGTCCAGCTCCACCTCCGCCCCCTGCTCGAAAGGCTCGACAACCTCCTGCATGCGCTGTAATATCTCCTTTACCCATCTGACCACCAAGGTCGCCCCGCAATCAACTTCCAGCCCAGATAGGGGCTGGGGAAAAAGAATAGAGGCCATAGCCCGCAGTATCTCTCGGCCATCATGTAGCCTAGATAGCCAGGCATCAGCCTCCAGTCGCAGCCCTTCTGCAGAAGCCATCGTACTCTCTAGTCGCATCTCCTCCCTCTTGGCCACCACCACCCCAACGATCGTCAGTGCTACCTCTCCACTTCTATGTGTTTTGTCGCTCCTGGAGTACTCCTTATCACGCAAGGGCGTCCGCTCTTTTTTTTAATTGGACAACTTTCTCAAGGATACATCCTTGAAACAAATTTTCAAGGATCCTTGAAAATCACATTTCTTTTCAAGGACTCGTCCCTGAGTTTCAAGATGTCTAACATGTGTCTAAGAAGAACCTAAATCTCTATTATTATTTATATAATATAGCTATTTATAGGGCTATCCCAAAGGACCTAAACTGCTTCTGTCATTAGCTCCACACTAGTGTCTAGCTGCCCTGGGCTCTACACTTTTGCTCTATAGGGCTACCCAGACCTTGAGCTCAGTGGTTAGAGCACCGGTTGGAAATGCGCATTGTGGTATGAGGTTGCGGGTTCAAATCTGCAGCCTCACGCATGGACACCGGCGGGGCGTTAGAATGACGCACGGCTGGACACACACCCCTTGGGCTGACCCATGCTAAGCTATTACAGACACTGCCTGCGCACCACCCAGGGGACTGTCCATGGTGTTGTATGTTGGGTCCTGACCTATGAGGGGGTTTGCCTGATACAGTTAGCAGTCTGATGAGGATGCAGCCTGAGGTACGGGTTTGTGGTTAGACTGCTCATGTGTGTTAGTTATCTTAGGCTCTGCTTTGTGGGGGGCAAGGACCTTAGGTGGGATGGGGTCCCATTTGGGGGGCGGTTTGGGTTTGGACAAGCTCTGCTGGAGGATATCGGTGGGGAACCTACAGTAGGGGATTGTCTTAAGGGATCCTGGTAGGAGGGGTGTTAGTAGACAGACTCTGGTGGAGGAAATCGTTGGGGAACCTGCAGTAGGGGCTGTCTGAGGGGGATCCTCCAAGGTAGGATGGTCTGGGTCCCATAAATTCGTTGCTGACTGTAGATAGGTACCTGTCGTGGGTCCAGAAACCAACCTCTACAACACCCTGGGCTTTATGATAAAAAAAAAAAAAAAAAAAGGCCTGGAGCCCTCCCCGACAGAGCACCAAGCTTTGTCAAAAGGCCAGCAACACACTTCTTTTCTTTTTTGGCTGGTGCTGCCAGCCATCACGCAGGCCCAAGGTGCAAACCTTTTGGATGGACGACGAGTTCATTTTCAGCAAGGCTGGGGCCATGTACTGGCGGCTTAAGAAAAAAGTTCAGAAACCATCAAGAAAAAGAAAAAAGTTCAGTTTCATCCAAACGGGCTCAAGCAGGTGGGCAGTCCGAGGCAGTCTGCACCCGCGGACGGGGGCATCCATTTCCGGGTCCTCCAATCCCATGGTGCCTCTGGGAGGTAACTTGAGACTGTCATCCTATAATCTGCAGGAGTTTTTTTTTCTGTATAGCCCTACACTTCTTGTCAGTGTTGTCACATTCACACTCTTGGAAAAAGGATTACAGCGCGATGGGACGGCATGCGGACCACATGAGGCAAAGACATGGGTTCAACAATATATAACAGAGAAATATCAGGAGGGTGGAATGAGACCCTTATTCTAGACTTCAGGGTGTACTCACATTAGGACTTTCCTTTCGTGTATCTGACCGCAGTTAAAGGGAGAACTGAATGTATCTGACTCCAATTACGCCCAGAGCTCAGGTGAATAAGTCCTAGTGTGAGTAGGCCCTTCCTCTATCTACATTGCTCTGTGACTGACTTTAAACCACCAGTACTTCCAAGACCCTTTTCTCCAGGGCTGGAAACATGCTGAGCGCCAAAAAAAACGAATCGGCGTGGGCCTCCTTTTGGCTGGAGCCACCAGCCATTTTGCTCTGGCGGCCTAGACTCTATAGTTTTGGCAGCATGCAAGCCGCGGCTTTGAAAAATTGGCTGGGAATGACTTGGTGGTTTAATTAAACCACCAGTACCTTTCCCCGCTTGAGAATCAAATTCCCGCCGGTTAACACGGGAGCCGGGCGGGTTCGGAAGTGCCGGCACAAAATGGCTAGTGGCGCCAGCCAAAACAAGTGACTCACCGGTGCTTTTTTTTTTGGCGTGCAGGTGCATTTTAGGCTCGGGAAGGATAGCTGAGAAAGGTACTGATGGTTTAAACCACCAGTACTTGGCCCATTCATGGGCCGCGGGCCTGTCCAGTTAACGCGCCGTGTTGACAGGGGGTCACCCCAGTGCAAGCCCGGTCGCTGCACCAAGGCCGGGCTCCGTCGTTTCAGGGATGACACACATCCCGAAAGTCAGGGATGACACACATCCCGAAAGCAAAAAGAAGAAAAAAATAAACGACAGAACAAAAGAGAACAAAGAAAATGAAGAAAAAGAAAAATCGCAGAAAAAACGAACCACAGAGACAGAGAGAGAGAGAGAGAGAGAGAGAGAGAGAGAGAGAGAGAGAGAGAGAGAGAGAGAGAGAGAGAGAGAGAGAGAGAGAGAGAGA